TTTATTATCGCTTTCTGGCCCACGTGTGATAACGTCCATAGAGAAAATCATTGTCTACATTAATTATTGTGTTACAGCAAAATTAATGGACAAAACAAGGTCAAGAGCATAAGTTATTAGTGGTTATGCTGATCTATCTGTTTCTAAAAGTGTAGTTATATAAGTAGTAGTGAATGAATGTCCTTTCACTCCTCTTGATATTTCATTTGCTTTCCTCCATGCTTTTCAGTGGGTGCTAAATCCACAACTACCCTTTTTTTGAAGCTAAAAAGTCAATCTGATTAAGCACCTACCCTTCCCAACTAGTCTTTGATACCACCCATTAAACAAAGAAACATGAGGCCCTGATGGCACAGTGGTTAAATGTTGGTACTGCAGCCACAATATTGTGAGTTTGATTTTGCAGGGCTCCAGGTTGACTCAGCCTTCCATCATTTCGTAGGTGGGTAAAATGAGTACCCAGCTTGTTGGGGGCAATTGTCTTACAGACTGTAAACTGCTTAGAGAGTGCTGAGTTCACTATGAAGTGGTATAGACATGTAAATGCTATTGCTATTGCTGTTTACCTTGAGGGGAAAAGAAGATGGCATGTGGAGGATTTGCCAAAGACTAGGGAGGCTTTGGAGAGTCAATCCATGAGCAGAAACAATGCAGACCATAACATGTTAAATTCTTTCCAGCACTGGCTCAACTAATTCTGCTTCCTGAGGCAAAGGATAAATGCTGCTCCTTCCTTGTTGCATGTACTCATGGTAACTGGATCGATAGTAGACTTTTACTTCTACACTGGGGATAAGATCATATCCTGCACCATACTTGAATAGGAATAGGCAAATCATCAATTTTACATTCTCTCATATTTGAATTTTGAAAATTTTTGCTCAAAAGTGAACTAGACAAAAAACAAAAACAAAACTCACTCATCTCTATACTTAAGGCCACAGGTCACTTTGTGGGGTTCTGTAGGGCACCTACAGATCTAGCTTCTAATTGAGGGGAACAGAAGGGCCACAAAAAAGGCTGTTACTATAACCTTCAGCATCCAGTGGTGTCCTGCCCCCTAGTGTCACCCGGTGAGGGGGACGCAGTTACCAGGGATGGGGCCTGAAGGCTGCACTCACCCTTTTCTCCCTTGTCGCAACAGCAGTGGCCTCCTCACAAGGAGACCAGGCATGCTCAGCCTTCTTACTCCTCATGGCAGGAATGGCCTCCTCATGGGGAAACCATTGTTGCCATGAGGAATTGGGGCCAGGAACTTTTGGCCCTTCCCCCCATGGGGTGTCATCTGGTGTGAGCCACACCACCACACCTCCCCCAGTGACACCACTGTCAGCATGTGCTGCCTGTGCCGATTCTCTCAGTCTGCTAAATGGGAGGGATGATTCCTTCCATCTCCCTAGATCAGGGGTAGGCAACCTTTCCCCTTTAAGGGCCGAGGGACTTCAGCTCCCAGAATCCCAGGAGCTATTGGCCAACATGGGACTATTGGCCAACATGGCTGAGGCTTCTGGGAGCTGAAGTCCCTCAGCCCTTAAAGGGGAAAGGTTGCCTACCCCTGCCCTAGATCAATAGGAAGATCAAAGGAACCTGACTCTTTACCTTGGAGTCAGAAAAAAAATGTAAAACATATTCTCCACAGGAGAAAATTGTATCCTGAATCAAGTTTAGGAGTCAACCATTTCTGTTCAAAAAGTTCTGCAAGATCCTGTCCTGAACTTAAGTGAGAAGTGAGCCTTCCATATAACTACCAATCATCCTTCAAATAGTGAAACATTTTTCTTTTATTTGTAAAGGAAATATGGAATTACCAAATAGGGTTGTAACAACAGAACATAATGCCATCTAAGCCTGATGTTTCACAATTTCTGTAAAAAGACCTGGGCATTCCTTGCCTAAGAAAAACCTATGAAATTCATGGGGTCACCATAAGTTGACAGGTAATCTGAAGGCATGTGTGTGTGTGTGCGCGCGCACGCACACACACACAGCAAGCCAGAAGGAGGGAAAATAGAAATGGGATCAGCACACAAATGAAGAGTAGATAATGAGTAGACCTGAGTCCTGAAAATTCTTTATCTGTCTCATTGTGTTTCAAGTTGTATAACACTTTTTCAGGGGCAATTGAGTTAGGCTATTCATTGGCTAGTTAAAGGAATCTTCCAAATGATCCCAGCATAGTTATTCTAACAAAATGATATAGAAAACAACCATCAGACTAAAATATATGATTGGTGGTTTGTCTTAATCTTGGCAGATCACTAGATTGCTGGGTAGTTTTCGTGCAGCTGTCCCAAAGCACTATGTTGCCTTGATTGGAAATGTGTTTTATGCTAGGGTTTGCAACTGCAAGTGTTTTGGACTTCAATGTCCAGGAATTCCAACCATCTAGCATGTTTGATGGCAAGAAGCTGTGGAAGGTATAGCCAAAAATATGTGGTAGCACAATGGTTCTTTACACCTGACCTATGTGAGGAAGTACAAGTACAAGGTATATAATCAATTGCTTAAGGATGATATATCAATATGCATCTTGTGTGTGCAATATATCAACAGTTAGGATACAAAGAGTAGAGTTATCCAGCTCATTACAGTAGCAAAACAAACAAGACCATTAAAACTTTGAAACTCCTTTAGAGTTTAATAATTGTTATTTACATCTATTACTTGTTACTATGACTTATCTATTCAGTATACTGTTTCTTTGCCACTATTACAGTTCATTGCCATGTTACAAGAATATTGTTTTCATTATATTGAATAGCACATCCTACAAAAACATTCAATCCCCCCCCCCCATGAAGTGTATACCCAGTGGGCAAATTTCACTTTAGTGTCTAGTGTGATGCAGTGGGAATGCAGGATAAAAGCAATGATTTCAGTATTCATTGGCCTTTAGGAACAGGGGCTCATCACAAGGTAACTGTATAGTGCAGCTGAACAACAACAATGGATTTGGTATTCATGTCAGCATTGCTAGCTCTAAACCTAAGGGAACAAATGTCATGTTTGGCTTGTCTGGATGAAAATATTCATCTCCACAAGCTATATTTTGAACAACTGTCACAGCAAAACAAGGAGTTCTTTAAGGCCTTGGGGGGGTTCTACAATTTAGTCTTTCATATCCATACAAGCATTCTGTTGGGGGCAAAAAACAGGCATTTTTAATTATATCTTTGAAGTTGTGCATATATGGCTTTGGGTAAACATAACACTGTTCTCAGAATAAGCAGAGATGAATTTATATTGCAGACATTATATTCTCTATTGAAGCAGGAAATTGCAAAGATGAAACCTATTGGAAGGCAACTCAGTTGTTTCCTTAAAATGGGATTTTAAATATATGTAATTTTCAATAATTGTAATATTGGTCAAAATGATCTAAGTACTTGACTCTTTTCTATATGACATCTTTAAATTCATC